GGTTAAATTTTACAATTTCTTTTGGTTAATTCAGTTAGTTCGAATACTTTTAAATACATTAGGATAATTCGGACAAAATAACCAATTAAAGTGTATTATTTCAATTGTTATAAACTTTTATTATTATTCTTGAATATTTTAGATATTTTTGGGTATTTATCGGTTTTCAGTATTTTGGATACATGGAACTGAACCAAACTGAATGAGAACAAAAAAAATCGGGTAATTATCGATTTGTAAAATCGAACTGAAATTGTTTCAATACCTATGTGGGTTTTAAAACCCTTTGCCGTAAGATCTAGAACCGATCGATTTCTATCTGAAACCAAATCGAATTCAATACCATGGGAACAAACCTAAAACTAAAATTGAAAAACAACATCTTCAACCCGAAACCTGACAAACATATTTTGCAAACAAAACTTTAAATCTCCTAAGCAACCCTATCCAAAGGAAAACTATGTTTGAAGCGAAGACACCAAGAAGAAAGTCACGGCAAAGCAGCCAATCCAAACGAGACAAAAGACCTACACTAGAGACTGAACACGGTGAACCACCTTAGTAAGCAATCCACCGAGCCGAATTGGACACGATGAGAAGTGCTTGTATATAGAAGATTTATAAATGATTGTACGCTGGCGAGCCACTGGTTCAATATACTTCTCTTTCATCAGTCTTTACATTTACTCGAGTCTTCATACAGATAAAATTTGTGAAAAACAAAGAACATACGAAAATAAAGGTAAAGAGAGAAATGCAAACGATGATCGACATTGATGCTAGCGGAACCACCACGCCGATAAAAGCCGGCATGTCACGTGCCTTTTCTGAAGACCATGAGGAGTTTGATGCATCCGACCACACCAAGACAACCTTCATCTTATACATCATAGTCGACTGGGTTTGCGCTACCATAGGCTTCTCAAAGATACAATTCTAGCACCCGACAAATTTGTGCAGGGATGGCATAGTCCCTTCTTCAAAGGAAGATCCACGATCAGTGAAAGATACCTCAAACCTAATTTATCTAACTCCAAAGGGTCTTTCCAACCTTGGTCATGCACGCTCTTTTCACTAAAAAGAAATCTTTGGCATGTCTAGATGATCCCAAGGAAACGATATAACAAGTTATGACCCATCAAGAAAATGTGATATCCTCCCCCAAACCAAGAAAGTGCACACCCTTGTGAACAAGGGAAATCCCTCATGATTGTTCATTGTAACATTACAAGACAACTCTGGCATCTCTTCTGTTATACTAACTCGGCCTCTAGCCTTAGTCTTCGACAATCAGCACCCTCGACCACCACACTTGGCATCCCGAATTTAATCGCCACTGAAAGAGGTATTATGCCTACCCACCTTAGGCGCTTGTCAAAGCAACGAACAACAAACCCGCTTCGATACCATATGTCACGTGATTTTTTCAAAAGACCGTGTGATGCTCGTTGCATCCGATCACATCGAGCTAGTCTTCATCTTACCGGTTTTGCCTTACCTTGGGCTCCTTAGGGATAAAGCTTTAGTACTTGGAACAATTTGTGTAGGGATGGTCAACCTTTAAAGATCTATTACTCGTATGTGACCAGTTTGACACACCCGAACAACTTTGTAAGGATCTCCGAAATAAATTTCCTAACTTGGGTGAAATCTGTATTTTCCACAGCTTGCTAAAGTGGATTGAGATAACGAAAATATACCTTTCCAAATAGACATTTTAATATGGTGCAACCACACTTAGT